AGTCTGTTAATTAATCCAGAGGTGTGTTGCTGCAAAGGGGAAGGAGGGAGGGCATTTGGGACAGCAAATCTTTCTCTTCTGGTGTGTAGGCTTTAGTTTTGGTGCTGTTTAATGCCTCTTCTCTTTTTTCTTTGTACAGGCAGCGTCTTTCAAGTGGATGGCTTTTGAAATTAAAGGTACTTGAGCAGGGAAGCAGCCCTGGAAGTAATCTCCTTGAAGCTGGGAGGCAGCACTTTGTTAGGGAATCACAGAGCCCTCGCAATGAGGAGAGAGGCGTTTGATGTGGTGTGGGCTGGCGCTGTTCCGAGGGGAGCCGGCTGCTGCCGCTGCCCCTGCGTCCTCCCCGGGTGCAAAGGATCATCAGAGCAGGGCAGGCTGGGCTCAAACGGTGTCTTCACAGAGGGAAGGCTCAGAGCTGTCATCCTTGCCCTGGAGGCCCTTCCCGGGGCAGGGTCAGGAGCTGTGTGTGTGTTGTACTGCAGATCGTGTCACTGCAGCACCGAGACGGCTCTGACCGACCTTCCAGCTCCCTGCTTCCTTGGCAGAGGTTCCTGCAGGAGCACAATCCTCCTCAGCCTCCTGCAGCTTCTTCCTCTGCATCAAGCTGCTGCTTGGCCCCATAACTCCTTATCTGTGTGAACTTACAGGGTGAGGAGAGGCTGTGGGACATAGAACCATGGAATGGTTTGGGTGGGAAGGGACCTTAAAGCTCATCCAGTCCCATCCCCTGCCATGGGCAGGGACACCTTCCACTAGCCCAGGTTGCTCCAAGCCCCGTCCAACCTGGCCTTGGACACTTCCAGGGATGGGGCAGCCACAGCTTCTCTGTACCAGCCCCTCACCACTCTCACAGGGAACAATTCCTTCCCAGTATCCAATATCAGTATACTCTACTTCAACTTAAAGTCCTTGTCCTGCCCCTCCATCCCTTGTCCCCAGTCCCTCTCCAGCTCTCCTGGAGCCCCTTTAGGCCCTGCAAGGGGCTCTCAGCTCTCCCTGGAGCCTTCTCTTCTCCAGGGGAACCCCCCCAGCTCTCCCAGCCTGGCTCCAGAGCAGAGGGGCTCCACCCTTGGAGCATCCCGGGGCCTCCTCTGGACTCTCTCCAGCAGCTCCACGTCCTCCCTGTGCTGTTCCCAGGGCTGGAGGCAGCTCTGCAGGGGGGTCTCAGCTGAGGGGGCAGAGGTGATACCATCACCAGTTGTCCCCTCCCTGTCCCCCCTCTCTCTGGTGCCTCAGCTGCCCGTTTTCCATGTCCTGCTCCGTGTCTGTCCGTGCAGACACCACGGACTGTGCTCGGCTGCACCATCTGCATCCTCACGCCCGGGTGGGTTTTTGGCCTCCTCGGTGGTTAACAGAAATAGGTTTTAATTAAAAGCTCATTATCGAGTTGTCATGTAGCATTAGTAAATAAAAATAACTTTTACAGCCCTGCCTTGTGACTCAGTAAGTGGCAATTGAAAGTATTTGACATCACTTTATTTTAAAAAAAATGGACAGATACTGCATATTTGATTCCCTGTTTGCTCCAAATGGGCTTTAAATCTAAATAAATGGTTGTCTCTGGCACTCTGGTTATCATTCAGGTCCAGAAGGAGAAATAAATGTGGTCTGCAGTCTCAAAATCATCTCCATTTCAGTTGTAAACTGTTGTGGGTGGGTGGTTTGGGCATCTCCTGAGGGGGGTTTGGAACAGCTACAGCCTATCCATTCCCTGATTCCCAGGTGGTTTGAGGGATGCTCTGCTCAGCCTTCTGCCATCTCCACCCCTGGCTCAGTGAAGAGGTGTCTTGTTAAAACTTGATTCTAAATGGGAGTAACATCACTCAGTGGAAGCTGAGCACTTTTTTCTGGGACTTGGTCCCCTTTTCCCAGGGGTCCTTTCCCAGGTCCTTTCCCCTTTCTCAGGCTGTGGTGTCACCACAGCAGGGGCTCTGCACTCTCTCCTCCTCCCTAGCACAGAACTAACAATAAAATGATCTGCAAAGCCATTTTCTGCATTATTTAAGGATAAATTGGTGCAGTAAAATACTCTATAGCTGTGAGTCACTCCTGCAAGGTCATGCACTACCCTGGTCCTGTGTGGGGGTGTGGAGGGGCCGCTGTGCTGGGTTTCCCTGGGAAGCATTCCCAGGCTGAGCTGGTGAGCCTGCCTTGATGTCCCTTTATTCCCAAGCCTGATCCCAGGGACAGCTGAAGCTCCAGTGGTTTGTGTTTGTGATGATGAGGAGGTGACATCTTCATCTGCCACCCCTGGACAGAGCCAGGTTCTGTCCCCTGGAGTTTGGGCACCTCCCTGTTGTCCGAGGGCAGTTTCTGGTGTGAGGAACCTTAATATCAAATGGTTAAAACTCATCCCTTTTTTTCCCCTTTTCCACACAGCTGGTGCAAATCCAATTTGACATCTTTGGTAGAAAAGCATCAGCCTGCTGGTGTTTTGGGACCGGTGACCCCCCTGCTCAACCCTCTCTGTGCAGAGGTTGCACCCTCTTGTTCCTTGCTGCCCATTTTTAAGGGTCATGGAATATCCTGAGTGGGAAGGGACCCCCAAGGACCATCCACTCCAACTCCTGGCCCTGCACAGACACCCCAAAATCCCACTCTGTCTCTGAGAGCATTGTCCAAACCCTCCTGGAGCTCTGGCAGCCTTGGGGCTGTGCCCACCACCCTGGGGAACCTGGTCAGTGCCCAACCACCCTCTGGGGGAAGAACCTTTCCCTAAAATCCAACCTAAACCTCCCTGACTCAGCTCCAGCCATTCCCTTGCTTTCCCTCCCTCCTTGTCACCCCATGACGAGGGGATCCAACAAGCCTCCTGCTCGTTTCTGGAGCTGCTTTATCGACTGGGGAGCTGAGGAGCAGTTGTGAAACTTGACAGAGAGGTTGTGCTCCCAAATAAATCGCCCAGTTGCCCGCGAGTTGGAAATGACTCCTGGTGCAGGTTAATAAATAATGCAAACCCCGTTAATAGATGCCAAATGCGCCGTCTCTGCCGGAGAAAAAGATGATGCCAATAACCTGGACTGGAAATACTCTGTTCTAGCCACTGGCTGCAGAGTTTTAAGTGTTTAGTGCTGTTAATTTAAAATGCTTCGCTGATAGATTGTAACCGCTCTGTGCTTAGTAAAGCACATAAATTGCAGCTCCGTGGAATAACAGCCTGTTTATAAAGCACCTCGGCCCCTGAATCCATCCAGCCACTTGTGCTGTGATCCTGCTAATGGGAGAAGGAGCTGCAAATGCCAGGGGTGGTGCCTGCAGGGTGCTGGAATGGCACATGCTGCGGGTCACGCCGAGCTGATCGTGATGGAGCCTTTTATTGGGAGATTGAGCTTTATAGCATCGTGCCACCCGCTCTGGCATATGGCTGAGAGGGGGTTTTTTTTCTGCTCTGAGCTTCTTAGTTTTGTTTTCAGGAGCTCATAAGGGCTTGTAAAATCATCCTTGTGCTTCAGGTGTCACTTTGGTGCCACGCAGGGAACGGTGTGGCAGGCGGAGGGCGGGATGGGAACTGCCAGCCTGTCCTGGGCAGCAGCAGCTCTCCATCCCCTTATGTCTGGTGGGGGGTATTATGGGGGGATTTTACAACCAGAGGATGTGGCAGTTAATGATACAAAGCCTATAAAGTAGGGGTGAGGAGGGCTGGGGTCCCGAATGTCTGAGAAGCAGGTGGAGTTCAGCTGTTGAAAGATGCCACTTGAATGCAGATCGTTACTTTAAGTACCGAGGTGTGGAGGGAAATCATGTCTGTTGGAATAAAGGTTTCTGCTGCTCATTGATATATTTAATGAAGGTAATTCAGCACAGTTGGGGAGGATCTGTGCAGTGTTATGGTTGGGGACTGGAGCATTGTGCAGGAATGTTAAATATATATTTCTGTCATCACATAAATGTGCAGTGACAAAGCGCTGGTGTAAAATGCAGCAGCAGAAGCCATCACTTGAAATACAGCCCCGTAAAGGGGGCTTGTAAAATAGAGAAAGTGAATTTTTACGCAGGCAGGTAGTGATAGGACAGGGGGGAATGGTTTTAAACTAAAGGAGGAGAGATTTAGGTTGGGGTTTAGGAAGGAATTCAGCTGTGAGGCCCTTGCACAGGTTGCCCAGAGAAGCTGTGGCTGCCCCTGGATCCCTGGAAGTGTCCAAGGCCAGGTTGGACGGGATTTGGAGCAACCTGGGCTGGTGGGAGGTGTCCCTGCTCATGGCAGGGGGTGGGATGAGATGAGCTTTAAGGTCCCTTCCCACCCAAACCATTCCATGATTCCCATCACCAAGTTAAAATTGCAAGGGGTAAAACCCACTCAAAGCTCCTGCTTTAATTCTCGCTGCTGGTCTTGGAAATAAACTGGTGGTTTGCTTTTTTGGAGGAAACCTTGGGGTCGTGCCAGCTGGTGAGGAAGGTTCGGGTGCCTGGTGTGGTTCAGTGAGGAGCCACAGGCAGTGGAAATCCCAGTCCTGTCCGTGGGGATGTTCAACACACCGATCCTGTGGGATGTGGAGCAATGTCTGGGGAGGTTTGGTGCAGGCACTGGGCTGAGGCAACGGGCTGAAATATGGTCTCAGAGAAGGAAAAACAGCCAATAACGCTTTATGCAAAGCAGTTTAGTGAAGAAATAGCCTTTTGCTGGCAGCCTGCTTTTATGTGCCTGCAAAAATGGTACCAAATAGCTGTTTTAATGTGTCTCACTCTGTTTTGTCTGAACCCTCGAATTAACCTCCCTCTTAAAACCACAGTCAGGGAAAGATCTGAGCCATCCTGTGCCGAGCTGGAGCCCATCCCGGGGGCTGGAGGGTGCTGAGAGGTGTGAAATCAGGGGGTTATAACTCCAGCTCTGCCAAACTCTCTCCTCGGGGAGTTTTGACCTGGAGGTGTTGACGGCGCTCGATCTGAGCAGTCCGGGGGAGGTGTTTTTATGGAGGGCAAGCGTCGGCTCCCTTCTATTCCCGGCCTGTCAGCCTGTCTGTGGCTGTGGGAAGGGACAGAACAGCGCCAGAGTCATTTGCTGCAAGCCGGCAGCATGGCAATGAGCTCGGGCCGTGCCCACCAGGCGGCACTGGGGGACAGCGGGAGCGGCCCCGCGTTAATATTGATGCGGCCAGGTGGCACCGGGATTGAGTTGTAGCGACGGGGAGGGTGTGCCGAGATCCCTTCGCCCAAGGGCTTCGCGGTAATGGCCATATGTCTCGGCCCAGCGATCGTTTCCACCCTGCAGATGGAAGAGCAAAGTGGCTTTGGCATATTAGATTCATCTGCTTTATGTCCCTCTTCACCTTCCTGCCTCCCGACGCCTTCTGTTTTTATGAGCAAACTTCAGCGGCGACGTGGATGCAGCTGCAGGATTGCTCTCAGGACACGCTCCCTGAGCAGGGCCAATTCTCTCCGCTCCTCAGCTGCTTTTGTCACCAGTGTTTTCAGCAGAAAATGCAGTTTGACTCTATCAAAATATGCTCCGGGAGAACCGCTGACTTCAGTGGTAATTAGGGGGGTTTGAGCTCTTTTTCCCTCTCCTCCGTGCAGGGTCGGTGGCTCTGTACGCGCTCCCTGCACGGATTGTGTCACTGCTGGTTTTTGGGAGTGCATTCCACCCTTCTCTGGGCCCCTGGTGCTGATGCTGGAGCTTCCTGGGCCATAGGAAGAGACATTAAACCCACCAAGGGGCAGTTAAAGGGATTTTTATTTCTTGCTGGTGTCGGGCTGCTCCTACCAGGAACCTAAACATGTCAGGAACCTAAAGGTTAGCTCAACAGCAGCCTAAATGCACCCTTAGGTCCTCTGTTGAGTGTTAGTGGGTCACCAGAGGAGCAAACAGGGGCTTTACAGTGTCTTTCTTTGGGGAAGTGTGGAAATCACATCTCAGCTTCCTACTGAGGGAGGAGCTGGTGATCTGCAGATGAGATCAGATGGAAGGATGTGAGTGTGTTTTATTAGGATGTTTTCGTGCCCGTACCAAATGCCTTCTCCACACTCTCAAAGAAAGACCTCGTGAGGTGAAAACGGTGCATTTGGTTGAGCAGAGCCGAAGTTCTGAAACCCCCCTTTGTAACTGCTTCCTCTTGGCTCTCCTGCAGGTGAAGTGGAAAGGGAAGGACCTGTTTGACCTGGTGTGCAGGACGCTGGGGCTGCGGGAAACCTGGTTCTTCGGGCTCCAGTACACCATCAAGGACACGGTGGCCTGGCTCAAGATGGACAAGAAGGTTGGAACCGAAGTTCGGGGAATCACGGAGTGGTTTGGGTTGGAAGAGACCTTAAAAATCATCTTGTTCCAACAGCCCTGCCATGGGCAGGGATGACAAAGGAAAATGTCCTTTCCTCTTGTTTTGAATGCATGAGGTGGTGTGGAGGTGAACTGGGATAGAGAATTTAAATCTCATCCCCGTGGCGTCTGTAAGTCAGAAAAGCTGGCAGAGGTGCCCAGCCCAGCTCCCTGGGAGCTGTGAGGCCTCAGAGTGTGCACACTGAATCCCCTTGAGGCGTTTTGGGAGGTGGCCATGCTGGGCTGCTGCACTTTGGGGTGACTGCAGTGTAAATGGAGCCTAAACATCTCTGCTCCGTGCCCCCGAACACAGAACTATTAGGGGAGAGGGGAAGTTGCTTCTTAGCTTGTTTGGTTGCTGAGATGTTCAAAGAGGAGGAAGAGCAGGGTGCAAAGGAGATGGGGATAAGGGAGGAAACGCTTCCCAAATATGTGAGTCTCTGGGGTGGCTTAGGGAGGCGATGGAGGGGCTTCTGTTCACAGCCAAAGGGTGTAACACCACAGCCAGGGAGGTCTGGGGGTCTCACCTCTCATGCCAAGGTTTTAAACCAACATGAATCTGAACTGGGCAGTGCCAGCACAACAGGAAGGAGGTGAGAAACAACACTGAAGGAACACGGTACAGGAAGACAGGGAGAAAGTCGGGTGGTGGCGTAGCAGGGTCCAGGATTGCTCCACAAGGATCAGCAGAGGCAGTGAGCACACAGCAGATCAGGATCAACCTTCCCTGTCTCATTTCTCATGCTGTTTGTTGCTGCCTTTTTTGTTCCCTTGCCTCGTTAGGAGTGTCAGAAATGTTTGTTTTCTTTTTTTAACTACAGTGTCTGAACTATTTAGGTCTCTTCTCAATGTCTAAAAGTGTTTGACAAAAGATGTGTTGATCTGAGCAGAAGGGAGCTGGGTCTTGTCTTGAAGAAGCTGAGTGGCTCTTGTATCCCACAGGTTCTGGATCACGATGTTCCAACGGAGGAGCCCAAAACCTTTCACTTCCTGGCCAAATTTTATCCTGAGAATGCAGAGGAGGAACTGGTCCAGGAAATCACCCAGCACTTGTTCTTCCTGCAGGTAGGAGCCGTGCCAGTACAGTTTTCCAACCCGAGGGAGAAGGAGGCAGGATGAGAAGTGCCGGAAGGCTCCAGGGTCAGAGTTGGTCAGCAGAGTGTGCTCCTCATCCTTATGTTCACACCTCTCCAAAGGGACTTGCTTTCAACAGCAAAAACTTCCTAAAATAGGTGAAGGATGGTTTGTCTGGATGAAGCAGTCAGAGCTGCCCAGACTCCCAGAGCTCTGAAGTGGCAGTCAGGAATGATGAGGTGATCTGGAATATCCGTGGGTGGTGGCTCAGGGACATGGATCTGTCAGATGACACCTCTGCAGGTGTGGGATCACCAGAGGGGTGGCAGCTGCCTCTGGACGTGATGGCATCATTGTGTGGAGCAGGGGGAATTCATCCTGGAGAGCAGAGTGCAGCCAGCTCGTTCCCAGGCTGTACAGCAAAGCTCACCTCCTCACAAAACAGCCTCCAGGGAACTGGAGCAGAGGAAAAGCCCAGCAGCTCAGCTCTTGATGGAAAAATAGGGGGAACCTCCCAGTCCCACCTACCCGGGAGCTCGTGCCCTTCTGTTGAGCACTGTGGTGAACACACCTGCAGGTTTTTATTTCAGGTACTCTACAGACCTTGGTGTCCTGAGGAGCCAGCTCAGCTGGGGATGCTGTGGCTGGGCTGGGAACAAGGAGCTGCTATCACAGGAGCTTTCTTTCAGACACAAGATCCATTCTTTGACACCTTTGAAGAGTTGTGTCAAGAATGGATAGAGGGAGTGGGACACTCCAAGTCAGACCCTGGGTACTCGTTGGGATGTTTCAGCTGCTCTGTGGCTGTTAATTTGAAGATAAATTATAAAATTTAAAAAAAAAAAAGACACTAAATCTTATGTTTGTTACACAAAAGTAGAGGCAGCCTGGATTTGGAAGCTCTTGGGAATACCACTGTAGCCTGCAGGGTGCTCTGCCCTTTCCAGGTGAGCTCACCAGCTCCTCACTGTCCTGGTGCTCCTCACTCTTCCAAAGTCCACCTTTGCTTTCCAGAGCTGAAGGATTCTAAATGTAGAGTGTTCCTGCTAATTTCCAGGCTCTGTCCCATGCACTGGTGTCTCTGTAGGGCTATTTCTACCTGTCTCATTTGCCAGGAGCTTTATCCATGACGAGGAAAAATGCTGTTGGCATCTTTCGGAAGGAAAACCAAGAGAGGAGAAGCAGCTCAAGCTGCATTTTCTGAAATGCAGACCGTGACTTTGCTGCTGGGATTTGTGTGCTGAGAGGAGCCTGGGCTCCTGTAAAGTGTTTGAGAAGCAGGAGCACACATAAGCTTGTAAACTCTCCTGGTTTTTACCTTGATGCAGCAGAATATCTGCTGTGATTATGTCGTACCCAACTTTGAGGACTCAAAGCACGTTATAAATTCAAATTGATGTTCCTGCATCTCTGACAATCCATTTAAGTCTCCCAGGAAATCGCCCGCTTTTTTTTTTTTTTTCCCCCCACCCCATCTTTAATCAGGAAAATTAAGTGTGCAAACCCAAAAAATATCGAACATGACAGGTTTAATTTTTTAATGCACAGCAGCCGGGGAGGTAAAGCCGTGGCTTCGGGGACCTGCACGTTGGCTCTCCTGGGAGGGTGAGCAGGGCTCTGCCTGCTGCTAAAAGCACTGCCACGGAGGTGACCCCCAGCTCTCCGTGCTGGGCTGGGATGGCAGGGAATTAGCCTGGAGCACAGGTGAGCACTGACTCCCAATGAGGCTGAATATCCCCGAGCAAAGCCTGGCTGTGCTCAGAGCCTCGGCTGCTGTTTTATTCAGCAGTGTATCTGGATGTCCTATCAATCCACAGCTTGTGCCTTAAGAGGTTTTATCGCTGTGTTTACATTCAGAACGTTTCCCCCTCCTTGCCTTTAGCAGCAGGATGGAGTTTCTGTCATTTCCCACATAGAAATTTAGTTCTCCCAACCCTGAGGAAGGGGATCTGTGAAAGCCTCTCCGAGACACGCCGGGCCTGGACTGTAATTAGTGTTTGGGAGATCGTTAAGTGTGCGGGTGACAGCTCGAGTTGAGACAAACTGCAGCCATCTGCTGTGACAGCCATGCTCTGCTCTGCTCTGCTCTGCTCTGCTCCACTAACGTGTGCTTTCTGTCCTCTGCTGCTCCGGGTGCAGGTGAAGAAGCAGATTTTGGATGAGAAGATCTACTGTCCTCCTGAAGCTTCTGTCCTGCTGGCCTCCTACGCCGTCCAAGCCAAGGTGGGCACTGGGGGGTTCTCCCGAGGCCTCCTCGAGGTGGTGATGGGTTAGTGTTGACCCAGGGCAGCCAGGTGCTTTGGGATGGACCCACTTCCTGGGAAGGGGAAGGCAGGGGAAGTTATGAGAGCCTGGGAAGCGAGGGGGCTGCACTAGCACTGCTGCCCTCTCCGCACGGCTGGTTCCTGGCTGCCTCCACACATTGGATGGATTTTCACTTTCTCTTTCCAGGACTTTTTAGCAAGTGCTCAGTTCATGAGCTGCAGAGCCTGCTGGAGTGTGGCTTAGTGCTGGAGCAGGAGAATTCCCTGAGCCTGAGCTTTTTTGGATCTCCTCCCTGCTTTTCCGTTGTAGCCGGAGGCAAGCCAGCCGTGGGACTCCCAGCTCCACTGTTCCCCAGAATGCTTGTCATCGTGATAATTACTGTGTTTGAGTGCTAGAGCTTCCCACATCCACGTTATCACAGCGGGAAAGGGCTTTTCCTGGCTTCTTCCTCTGTCTTGCGTGTGATCTTGGGTGTTTGGCCTCACCCCACAGAGGGAGAAGTCAGTGTTCAGTGAGCCCCCCTTGTTCCTGAGCTGAATTCTGCTCTGGGCCCAGAGTTGGTGTGTTTTGCTGAGCATTTATTCCA